TCTTCGCCGCCTCCGGCTGTGTGGTGGAGGCGACCTCCTCGGTTGGCGCGCCCAACAGCCTGGAGAGCCTCTTCTCTGCAGAGAACACCGCCGGATTAGTGCTACAAGTCAGAGAAATACGGGGGAAAAGGCAACAGATAACAAGGGAACAGGAGCAGTATTACAGGTATCTCGGTCGGCGGGGGGGAACTCCACCCCTCCGGGAAACCCGGACAGCCTCCCCAACAGCCCGGCTGCGGAAATCTGCTCAGTGGAGAACTTGGCTGCGTACAGCTTCGTCGCAGAGCCCAGCAGCTGGCCGAAGGCCTCTGGGTCCAGGTCCTCTGGATAGGGGTCATCCCCGACCCCCCAACCTTCCACGCGTTGGGGGGAAAGTGGGTGTTTCTAAAGAAAAAGAAGTCCCCATTCCAATTATTCACGGAAGAGGGGACCCCGTAGAGGAGATCCTGGGCACCCTTCCCGCCGCGGTTGTTGGCGGAGCGGCGGCAGATATAGTACCACCCAGGAAGAGAAGCTTTGAGGGCGAAGGTAGCACGGAAGAGAGAGAGAGAATAGGGGATGGAACAGATCTGTCAGTAGATCAAGAATCCGAAGATGACCCTGATCGAGTTAGGGTGGACCTGGGTGATCCTGAGCCCCCAGTAGCTCAGGATCTCGGCCAGGGCTGGAGGAATGGGGAGTCGGAGCCCCTCGACCAGTTGCTCTTTGTAGACGGCTACAAAGCCTGGGGGAGGAAGGCAAGCCCGGTCGGTGGGCCCGGCAGCTCGCGGCTCGAAGGCCGGAGGAATAGAGAATTACGCGGCCAGCTCGGCCACTGCCCCGGGCGAGATGGTGGTCTCCTCCCGGTCGGGGTGACCGTAGTTGAACTCAGGATCATCACCCTGCTCGGCAGCAGGAGTCCCCTCGGAGGAGTCCCTGTCCTCCCCCTCTCCCTCCTGGGCTCCGCCAGGGGAGTTATGTGGGGACTTGGGGGAGGGGACAGAAGTGGCTTGGTGCTCGATGAAGGCATCGAGCTCGACTGCCTCCTCCAGGAGTCGGGCAGAAGGAGGATGGGCAGACGGAGAGCTCATGACGTCAATGGGCTCAAGCAAGTCAGAAATGGAAAAATTGGGATTGGAAGCAGAATATGAAGAAGGAGAAGGAGATGGTGAAGAGGAAGATGAAGGTGAAGACGAGGACGAAGAGGAAATGAAGATTCTGGTGGCTATACGATGGACCGGAGTTTGGGATGCGGTGGAAGTGACGTCGGAGTGACCCGACATAAAATGCAGGGGGTGGCAAAAGGAGGAAAGGGAATGCGAAAGAAGAGGGGAAAGGACTTACTGGTGATCGGAGTGAAGAAAGGGATGGAGAAGTCGCCGGAACCTGGGCGCTGGAAGCCGGAAGCCGGAAGTCTTGTTGCCGGAAATTGAAAAGTGCACGAAGGAAGCAAAAAATGGCAAATAGAGTTAGAGAAAGTCTGGGAATGCCTATTTATAGGGTGCCAAATGGGGGGGAAACGGTTGCTTGAATTTGAACCGTCCCATGTGAACACATCTAATAGCGGTACGGAGACCGAGGGGACGCGACAACCGAAAGGACGCGGACGCCACTTCCCAATGTCAGCACTGCACCGGAGGTGACCGCGGCAGAGCAGTGCGATGATGGGCTCCCACGTGGCAAGGGAGTAGATCAGGTCTGCCTGGGAGCCTGACCTAATCTAGGGGGCTAGTGCGGAGGCCCCATCCTGGGCCTGTACACGTGGCAGCCCAGGGCGATCTGAGTTGGGCTTGGACTCCGGGCCCATGGGGAACCAGCCCAGGTCGCACGACGGCTAGGGCTCCGTGGGGCTCCAGAGAACTATCCCGCAGAGGGCAGGGAGGATCCCCCTCCGCGCGGGATTGGGAGCTATCCAGGGCAAGTCCCGAAACGTACGGAGGTCGGACTCCTCAGCAGGTATAAACAGTAACACACAACGACTGCGGACGGTAGGCTCACTAATCTCTGGGCAACCACTCTCGACTGTTTGCTTCCCGTGAACCTTACTCACCGGAAAACTAATTTGGCCGTCGGAGTGCCCTCGGGGACAACCTCGGGGCCCCTGTCAGTTCACCTTCTTGTCTTTCTTTCAGGCTTAGGACGCGATCTTTCCGCCATCAAGCCGAGCTAATCAGGTCAGCTCGGTTCGGGGAAGTTCCGTGCTTCTTCAGTTAGCTATGATCAATTTTAGATAAAGCTATATCATATCATCTTATAATTCACTTTTTTTTTTGTACACTAGATTTTAATTTGTAAAAATTAATCTTTATGATTTACACATGCATGTTGTGGATACCTTAGCCACCTCGGCTATTTGACCATCTCAGTTAACCTGATCCAAAGAATACCTCGGCCAATTTGTCCTTCATCAATAATTCATCTCGGAATGACTCATTTATTCGAGGTATCAAAAGTTTCGGTTGATCATTCCAAAAATTCATCTTAGAATGACTCATTTATTCGAGGTATTAAAAGCCTCGATTGATCAGTACACATGTATTTTTTTTACACATGTATATTACACAGTAAGGCTATTGTAGAATATGAGTTCATGATCGCCAGTCATCGCCCGTACACATGTATTTGTGTACGCTAATAGATAGCTTCTAAGTTTTTCGAAAGCTTGCAATACTATTACATATTTGTTGTGTAATATAAATAATTTATTTATTCATTCTATAAATTCTAGACTTACAAAAATGCATAAAACTATTCGAGAAGACAACAATTGACAGCAAATTCAACGAGCGTGGTGTAACTTAAAGAAAGGCCAACTATGTGTTTCATATTGCAATTCTATACAAGTTCGAACATCAGTTCATGAAAGTAGCTTGTGCATATTTTTATTGCTCATTTTTGTAAACAGTGTTACAGTAATTATTTCAAATAATTTTTTATTCAAATATATGTCGCTCGGTAGGAGTAAGAAATTAAGAAACAAAATATAAAAAAAATTACTGCAGTAATAACTCACTACTACTAGAAGGATCAAGGAGTTTAAGTGTGCATTTGATAAAAACTGAAATATGAAAATTGAATCAATTAAGTTGTTGATTTGTTAAGTATTAAATTTAATACACTATCACTTATTTTTTAGAATAAATTTTATTTTAAAAATTTAGTGTCATTTAATTAATTTAAATTTTTAATTTTTAATTATCAAAGGTATCTGAATATGTTAAAATCTGAATAAGTTAAGTTTAAGTGGTGAAACGGGCATAACAATGAGCTGAGGGGAAGTAAAAAATGCGAGCAGCTTAGGCTTGGGGTAGGGAGCTGGTAAAAAACAGACTCAGAACTCAAAAGGACCACTGCTTTTAACCTTTTGAACAAGTACTGTCAAGAAATCCTGTTCTGCCGGCCCAACTCGAATTTCAAGGATGCAACCCTCTCAAACGTTTTAACCCACAGTTTCAACTGACAAAAGCAACGCTACTCCATACTACTGCTGCTGTGCTGTACCAGTGCTACTCCTACTCCCAACTCCTCCAACAACAAAAATCAACTCCAAAAAAGGCTTATCCAAAATCCCACCGCCCCTAGTTAAATGCAAAGGTAATTCTGTCAAGTCAAATTACTGCACCCTCAGATTTCACCAGTTTTTTTCCACTGTACAACAATGAGCAAACAGAACCAAGCCCGTCTTACAACAAAAGATATACACTACTGTGTAGAGTGGATTGCCACGCGACGCGCGCTCTTATCCTCCTACGCCTACAGTAAAAAAAAAAAAAAAAACAAAAAGACTGTGAGAGTGAGTTAACCCATAAATCTCGCGATACGAGAGCTTACTCCTTCCTTTTACTAACAATTTTTAGCAGTAGTAACTTCTAGTAATCCTCTCGACCACGAAGACATCGCGATACGCCCCCACCCCTCCCCTCGCGAGATTTTCTCAACTAACTCATTTTACCTTTCTCCCTTCTAGTAGTACTTTAGGGGGAAAAAAAAAAAAGAAAATCCCTTTTTCGTTCAGACAGAAAATTCTCTCCACCAATATTAAATTTAAAAAAAAGCCCTGTTTGGCTGACCCAGCAATTAATAATTTAACCTGATTAATCAATTAATAAGGCTTATAGTCTGTCATTTAGCAAGAAGGTTGGAGGAAAGAGACAGAAAGCGTATGTGTATGTGTATGTATATATATATATATATGTGTGTGTGTGTATATATTAGTACAAAACAGTACCAAATTATGGAAAGAAACAGACAAACAACAAATCAGCCGAGTAATAACAAACAACACAGAATTAGTTGGTTTGGTCATTTGTTTTGTAGCGTTTGACTGCTGGCGGGGGAAAATGCGGGTAACGTCGTCGTTTAGGAGTACGTTTGGCTGTATAAATAAATAATAAATAAAAGAGAGAAAGAAAATTTTTTTTTTAAAAAACGCAAAGAGTGGGATTCGGCCGTGAAATTCTCGGAGGGAATCACATTTTTACTCCCTCGCCCTTCCGTAGTACTAGCAGCAGGATAGGATTAAAATCTCTCCCTTTCGCTTTTGTCTATTTCTCTGCGTGTGTCTGCTGTGTGCGTTGCTTGAGTGCGTGAGTGTGTGAGAGAGAAAGAGAAGGCTAGCAGTAGTATGTGTGAGTCCTATTAGCAATTTAACATTAGTGTGTGTGTGCGTGTCTCTGGTGTGCTCTTTTTTTTTTTTGGGTGGGGAGTGGGGGCCCGGAGGGTGAATCGAGAGACTTATTTTATATTTTATTAATTAATAAAAAAACAGACAGAGAGTAGGCTATATATATATATACATACATACATACGTACATATATATACAGGTACATATATATATATATATAGAAGGCGCAGAGAGAGAGAGAGTGAGAGCAGTGTAAAAGCGAGAGGATATCTGTGAGGAGGTGGTGGTGGTAGTGGGTGTTGTCTTCTCTATTTCCCTCTAGGTTCAATCGTCGTCTTCTTCTTCTTCTTCATCACTTGCTTCTTTCTCTTCTCTACCACCGGTATATATATATATATATATATAGATGTATATGCACACATATATCTATAGGCGTACTGCTACAAATAGTACCAAGTAGAGAATAAGAATTGCTGCCGGTTTCACCGCCATTTTCCCCATTTCTTCTTCTGTACGAAGGCCTCCTGCCTTTCTTCCTGTTTTCTCCATATCGAGTATTACTTTTACTTATTGTTGTGATTTTATACAAACAAAAGATTCGTCCGAAGTGTTAATAACGCTCATTCTACGTATTAAGTTGTTGGTATAACACTGAAATTGAAATTGACGGGGCTTGAAAGATATTTTAGGTGGTTTTGTTTTTGAGAATTTTTTTTTTGGGGTTATAGCGTTTGATTGAGAAGAGGGTGAGGATTTTAAGGAAACTTGTGGAATTGTTTTCTTCTTCTTCTTCTCTTTAAAGATGTTTCTCATTTTACTGTGGTTCGTGCCTTTTTTTTAAAATTATTTTCTTTGGTTGGTTAGGTTGTCCTTATGATGAAGAAGACATGCTACTGGAACTGCCATTTCTCTGCCCTGATCTCTGTTCTAGGTAGACCGGTTGAATTCCCATAGATCTCTGTTTCTTCTTTTCCTTTTAAGGCCCTCTTTTGCCGTTGGTAAGAGTTTCTTTATATGTTGTTCTTGTCTCTTTGTGCGTGTGTTTGTGTTAGCTTTTTCTTTGTGGGTATTCTTATGTGTGGCTGTATTTTTTTTTTTTTCATTAATCATTGGTTTTGATTTTGTAATTTGGACTACCGACTTTTAATGCGTGTTGATGGGAATTTTGTTACAGCATTTACTGAGAACAAAGAGAAATAGGAGCAGCCTTTTTTATGAAGGAGTAGTATAGTAGTAGCGTTTTCCGTGGTTGTTTAGTCGGGTGCATTCAACTCCAAAGAGCTTTTTCCTGAAAAGGATTGCAGTTTGGGGTAATTAATATGAAGGAGATGGTGGAGAAAAGCTTGGATTCTCAGTTATGGCATGCCTGTGCTGGAGGGATGGTCCAAATGCCTGTGGTTAACTCCAGAGTGTATTATTTTCCACAAGGCCATGCTGAGCATACCCTCGCTAATGTTGATTTTGCAGGCATGCCGAGAGTCCAACCTTTGATTCTCTGCAGGGTTGCTGCTGTCAAGTTCTTGGCTGACCCTGAGACCGATGAGGTTTATGCGAGAGTTAGGTTGGTTCCGATTGGGAACAACGAGGGTTGTTATGAGTTTGATGATGATGGTGGTGGTGTTTTGGGGGGTAATGGGCCCGATTCGTCAGCTGATAAGCCTGCTTCTTTTGCGAAAACATTGACCCAATCTGATGCCAATAACGGTGGGGGTTTCTCAGTCCCGAGGTATTGTGCTGAAACGATTTTCCCGCGGTTGGATTACACGGCTGATCCGCCCGTTCAGACTGTTGTGGCCAAGGATGTTCACGGGGAGACTTGGAAGTTTAGGCATATCTACCGAGGGACGCCGAGGAGGCACTTGTTGACTACGGGATGGAGCACTTTTGTGAACCAGAAGAAGTTAATTGCTGGTGATTCCATTGTGTTTCTGAGGGCTGAAAGCGGTGATCTATGTGTGGGGATTCGGAGAGCTAAGAGGGGTGGTATTGGTGGCCCCGAGTCCCCATCTGGGTGGAATTCTGCAGCTGGAAATTACGGAGGATTTTCTATGTTTCTCAGAGAAGATGAAAATAAGCTGATGAGAACTGGCAGCGCCGGAAATCTGAATTCACCTGGCAATGGTGGTGGGGCTTTGAAGGGACGGGGAAGAGTGAGGGCTGAATCGGTGATTGAAGCTGCTTCGTTTGCTGTGAAAGGGCAGCCTTTTGACGTTGTGTATTACCCGCGTGCTAGTACTCCGGAGTTTTTTGTCAAGGCTTCATCTGTGAGTTCCGCAATGCGGGTCCAGTGGTGTGCTGGGATGAGGTTCAAGATGCCATTTGAAACTGAGGATTCTTCGCGAATTAGCTGGTTTATGGGAACGATTGCTGCTGTTCAGTTTGCTGATCCGATTCGCTGGCCTAATTCTCCATGGAGACTTCTCCAGGTAAGACTTTCTGCATTTATAGCCTTACTATTTGCATACATACGATTAGCTTATTAGCCATTATTTGTTACACTTCTTTTCTTTTATTATCACCTTTAATACTGGTTCAAAGTGAGCTGCATACCATGCAAGTGTCAACTTTGTGTCCTTTTGAGTAGCGCAAGAGGAAGGTTATATATCTGTTCAGTTAACCCTGGAAAAAAAAACTCAAAACTGATAATTTGCCAGTGCATTAATTCCTTGAGGGTTACTATCAGAATTATAGCATTTAAGTTTGGTTGCACAGATATGCTTTACAGCTATCTTTGGAATTCTTTTTGCCATTGTGCAAGTTTGATAGCATTGCATGGCATAACATGCCTGTTGACAACAGTTCAACGGAAAAAAAACAAAAAGCCAACTCAGGTTCTCTGTTTTAATGAGCCAAATTATGACACCATCAGAATTCACATGCTTCAAAACATATCGAGTGTGAATAGCTCAATGATTGGATTTGTAGCAACTGTAAGATCTTGTATAGAAGCCACATGGTGTCTGATAGATATTATTCAAAGTGTGCACCTGACTGACAGGGAAGACATGCTGTACATATTTAGTAGTCTTCTTGTTCACAATTTTCTCCCCAGTTTTGTGGGTAAGAACTTTTTCCAGTGATTTATTCCTTTCATGTGTCTATACCGTGTCCCTGTGACTATGAGTTCACTACGCTGAAGCTGGATGGTGTGTTTAAAATGATTTAGCATCTGGTCCTACCATATTTGAGGAAATATGGTTTTGTTTGATGTTCTAAAGTATGATCAAATGCTTGGCATGTATGAAATATTGATTCCTCAACTGCATGGTGGTTATGCAGTACGATAGTCATTTATGGTGAATAACTTTACTTCAAAGAAAATGGGAATTTTCTGATAGTGCATTGGAATTTTTTTTCCCCATTGGAAATTTTTGTCCTCTCTCTCCATTGAACTCCCCATTGGAAATTTAACTTTCTGAGTTGCTAAATCCAAGTTTTGCTTATATGAAGGACAAACTTGATTACATATGCAAGTCTCTTTTTTTTCCCCCAATTAGTTTTACGCCTTTCCCTGTTGGAAACTATCTATCAGGTGACATGGGATGAGCCAGATTTGCTGCAAAATGTCAAGCGCGTCAGCCCATGGCTGGTTGAATTGGTCTCTAATATGCCCGTTATTCATCTATCTCCATTCTCACCAGCAAGGAAGAAGTTGCGATTATTGCAGCACTCGGACTTTTCTCTTGACGGCCAATTTCCAATGCCGTCATTTTCAGGCAACCCTCTTGGGCCAAGCAGTCCTTTATGTTGTCTATCTGATAACATTCCTGCAGGCATACAGGGAGCCAGGCATGCTCAACTTGGAGTACAATTAGCGGATCTCCACCTTAGCAACAAAATGCATTTGGGACTGATATCCCCCAGTTTCCAGCAGCTGGATCCGCTTGCTAAAAGCTCTGATGGCATCATAAGAGGCCACTTAGATAGCAGTGATGATATATCCTGCTTGTTAACCATGGGAAATTCTAGTCAGAAGCTGGAAAAGACCACCAGTGTGAGGACACCTAGATTCTTACTCTTTGGTCAGCCAATACTCACTGAGCAGCAGATGTCACATGGCTACAATAGTGATGCAGTTTCTCAAGTAGGGAAAAGTTCAGCATGTGGGATATCATTGAAGGCAGAAGATGTTTCACTTGATCAAAAAGTTCACATGGATAGCCTGCCCAATACTGGATTGTTTTGGAATCAAGGATGTCATGCAGCTGAACTTGGCCTTGATACTGGTCACTGCAAAGTGTTCTTGGAATCGGAAGATGTTGGCAGGACTCTTGATCTCTCCGTTCTTGGTTCATATGAAGAGCTATACAAAAAGCTGACAAGCATGTTTATGATAGAGAGATCAGAGTTGGAGGGCCATGTATTCTACCGTGATGCAACAGGTGCCCTTAAACAGACTGGAGATGAATCTTTCAGGTAAATGATTCCGTCGTTTTACTTTTTATATTTTGTTTTGATGGCAAAGCATTGAAAATTAAGAGGTTGTGTAGATATTTGAATATATTGATGTGATTTTTATGATTTATCGCCTCCATTTGTACACAGTGAGTTTGTGAGGACTGCAAAAAGATTGACAATCTTTAAGAATCCAGGCAATAGTGTTGGCAGGTACTCATTGGTTTCTTGAGTTAATTTCTTGCATATGCTTTATTCTGGTGGAATTTTAATATTGTGACACGTATTTTCTTGCGTTAGAAGATTCATTTCTTATAAATCTGTTAAATCGTCAAATGCCCTCTTGACAAGTCCATTTCCATTATGCTATGCTTCTCTTCTGGCACCGATTCCTTTTAAGGAATAAGGATCCTGTGTTGTTTCAGGAAATGGCTTACTGGTTTACCGACTGCTGAACGCGGACTAGATTCTTCAAACCAGGCAGGACCGCTGAGCATATTTGCATAGTGCAGTTCGGCTTGGAGAGTTGATGTAGTAAAAGTTGACAGTTGTTCAAGATACTTGTCGTTGTTGACTTTTTATGTAATTAGGAACTTCTTTAAATGAAGTTCTAGTACTCTTGTTTGACTAAGGAGCAGCTACTCTTTGTGTAGCTTGGAAAAACCTCTCATTTGGAGGAAATTTACTTGTAGTACTTGTGTGTATTGCTAAGCTACTATTACAGTTCAATGAATGTGGAGTCTTGGTATATGGCTAGGTTCATAAAATGCCTATTATGACTGACTGACGTGAATTTGTGTTCTCTGTGGCGGACTTGAACATGAATCTGTCGGTCCTCTATGAGCAATATTTGTTTTTAACATCTGATGGGTAAGTAAATAACAAGTGTGGCATGAAAAGGGCTCATGCATGGTCTTGGAAGAAGAATATGTGCCTGATGAGACAGAGAGGAGAGCAGAAAGCCAGCGAGGAAACGAGTTAAAGAGAAGATCCTTAAGAAGCTCTACCGACGAACTTTGGAAAGAAACATCCACTGCCGGCGTCTGAATTGGTGCGAAGAAGTTGGCTCCCAATTTGCCTAAAGGATACCTAAAAGGAAATAAAATCAACAATAAAACAGTACTAGTAGTGTGCTAGTAACGTATTGATGCGTAACTTGTGGCATGGGGCAAATAGATACAGGTCATCATCTCCAAAAAAACATATTAGCAACTGGCGTGGTCTAAAACCCAACTTGAAAACATGTTGACAATCTCCACAAACCTAAAAGTGACAAAACCTCATTGATTAGCCGTTCCAAAAGTCTAACACCAACTAAGCAAGAAAAAGAAGAACAGCAATAACCCCCACACACGTGAGGTGTGGGACACTATTGCCCAAAATTGACCACAAATGACAAAGCCAACCATGGTGAGGTGTTGGTTTCAACTTTCTTGAATGATTTGATCAAATTTGATGTCATCTCCTGTTAAAGTTCACGTGCGGTTCCCACTCGTGTCGCCGCCTTGATGCCCGAGTCTATTCACTCCCCCTGCTCCTTTGCACCCCACGCCTTCACCTTCATCCTCCGATATTAATAACCTGTTTGACTAAAACTCCATTAACCTGTAACACCTCCCAATTGACGCAAGAGGAGGCCTATCTATCCACTCAATTATGGTGCTGAATTTAAGGATCCAAGCCCCGAGAGAGAGAGAGAGAGAGAGAGTAAAGGAACAGTCTAGAGGTCCGATCATGTTTTTGTCTGATTTCTTTGGAGCTCGATGGAGGCCCTGTGGGCTAATGGGAACAATTAAACGTTTTCTTTAATCTCATCTCTTACTGCATGTCCGTCGATTGACATGATCACGATTCCAATTAATCTCATCTCTGATTACGTGTGTCCGTCTATAGATATGATTACAATTTCAATTCAAATTTGAATTGTGATCGTCATCTTCAATCTCATCTCTTATTACGTGTGTCCATAAATAGACATGATCACGCTTTCAATTCAAACCTGATCTGTGATCAATTATAGAATTAGTACTTGATGACGAAACACATTCAAAGGAACAAAACTTTCCTACTTCGTTTTCAGTTCCAAAACCCGAGTATCATGGACTTGTGCTCCATCCACACCCGGATGAATGAATTTGTTGCGTATTTTATGTTTGCTTCCACCTTTTTTTTCCATCTGAACAGGTTGTTGCTCAGTCATGTTCATAATTTCATTTCAATTTTCATACGGCAATAGAGTATGAGTTGAAAATTCTCAAGTACTTTATTCCCAAGTAACGAATCTTAGCCATTATGTCTGGACAGGAGATTTTTTAAAATATCATCTGAAATAATTACTGTAATATATGATGTACGTGAAATAAAATAATTAATTAAAAAAGATTTTATAATAAAGTTATAATTATGTGTTTGGATTGTGATTTTTTGTCAAAAAAAATTTGCTTGCATCGTAAACACGTTTTTCAATATACCTCTTTTTAATGTTTTTAATTACCATTTTATATCACATACATCACATTATAAAAAAAAATGCTGCACTAATTTTTTTTTTTCAAGAATCATTGAGAGTTCCTTTTCTTTCCATTATCATTTCATGATTGGATTTTGGTGGAAGTACCTTCTCATTTTTATAATTTTCTGTCATGGACATGACATGCAGATTTTGGAATTCTAACATTCCAACCACAGCGCTTGCCCTATGTTATTGTAAATTTATTTGGTGAGTTAATAATGCAAACAAAAACAGAAACTTCTGTTAAGGGTTGAGAGTTCATAACTTTAATGCGACTGATATCCCTTAGACTTTCATTTTCTATTTCAACATCAAATCCTTTTTTTTTTTTTTTTTTTTGTTTACCCACCAGTTATCGTGATCACCAGATCATCAAATCAGAAACACAAGTCCAGAGACAAATAAATGGAATTGAATACTCACTCACTCTCTTTAAAAAGCCTTTCCTTTCAATTTAGGTTGGGGATGCACTAGGTAGGATTTTAAATTATGGGGGTGTTGCAATTAAATTCCGTTTGTGAAAATTCACCAAGAACACATAGTAAACTAGGCAAAAGAGCATGATGAATGAATGGCTGGATAGGGCGTACTATACATGGGCTAAAATTGATGAAATAAAAGTTCTAGCTCTACTACTTGTCTTCCCTAATTAAAACCCACATTAACATTACTAATTATACTTGATCCTATAAATGCCGTCCTAATCCTCCTAAAAAAGAAAAATGCCGTCCTCTAGCCTGTGTTCAACCATTGCCTCATTAGTCATTAAACCCTAGGAACAGAGTTAAACATTGCCCAACCAACTAATACTACTGATACTTAGTAGAAACTATTTCGGCTGCACGAAAGTCAGTAGATAATAATAGCATTGAATTCAAGGAACAACTAGTATTGAATATGCTACTAGTAGCACTTTCGTGTGGTTTTGGAATTCACGTTAATTTATGTACTTCACACAAGATCCAAGAATTGTGTAGACTTAAAAACTAGTACGAATTCACATTCAAATTTTGATAAGGAATCCCAAAACCAGGCTTGGGGATAGCTGCATCATGTTCTTCTTCTCTGTCTTTCGCTATCTTTTTTTTTTTTTTTTTCCATCAAAATCCGAAGTCCCAAAAGAATTTTTTTACCTTGGAAATTAAGAATTCTTACAAATACACGTTGTTGTTCTTTTCTAGGTAGTTATCACTACTGTGATTTTTTTTTTTTTTTTGGCGTTTCGATTGAAAATTTTTTCCTGAGATGGACTTTTTGAAATGTTTTAAAATGGTTGAGGCACTAAATCCTATTTGTGAGCTCATTGCTTAATAGGTGTATCTAAAATGAAGGAAAAAAAAGTGTCTTTAGTGACGAAAAGAGAGAGTAGAGACATTCTAGATATGATTTCTGATTTTCCATAACGATCATTGACTTTGATGCAACAGATAAAAAAGATAAGTCAATAGTCTTTGATTAATATAAGGTAGCCGCACATTTATCTTCTGATTGTAAATTCTAGAATTTAAAAGTGTTTTTTGTCCAATTGGAACAAATCCATTCAAAATGTGGTTATAATTTGCAGAGATGCATCTCTACTGTTTTTCTTTTTTCTTTTTTTTTTTTGGGCCAAGCACTTTTTTTAATTACTTTCACGTTTCTACATGCTCCTATGACAGATTGTATCCATCACAGAAGAAGACTATTCAAGACATTCACCAAATTCAAGTACTCCTAAACACCAACTGCTTTTTAATAAGCCATTCTAGTGTCAAACCATTTTTATAGCTGAGTGATTGATGTATGAAGAAACAAACCCAAAAATCAAACCAATTCTTATATACCTATCCCGTTCGAATTGTTAGTTTCTGGAGTTTTTATAGAAAAATGTACTGTAACAATTTGACGTACTTGCGATAAAAAGATAAGTAAAAAACATGTTCACAGAAAACGTAGGGTCCGTTTGAATTCCTTGTTTTTGCCTCTTTTTTTTTAAAACTGTTTTTCACATTCCAAATGCTACAGTAAATGTGTATTTTCAAAACAACTCCAAAATTATAAAAATAATAATAATAATAATAATTTTCACGCATCGCACACCAAACACCATAATACTCTCAGTAGTTGGCTAGTAAATTTTGATTCTTTAACTTCCACTCCTCGTACCATTTAGTAATAGTATTAACAAGTCTATCTTCAAAATAGACATATTTTGCTAAAAAAAAGGTGGCTAAACAACTTTCTCCTGACTATAAGAAAGCTCCGTACCAGGCAAATGATTTATTACCAGTCCAATCAGCATGCTTGATGGCTTGGTGAGGTTTAATTGTTTCTTCCTCTTCTTCTTTTTTTTCTTTCCTCCTCCTTTTACAGAAGCAAAAATCTTATACCCGTGTTATCTATCAAAAGTTTAAAAAGATGGTGGTGATACAATAATACAATTGATAAAATTTGTTTGATTGTGGTTCAACCGACTAATAATGAAAAGTCAATACCCTTCCAGGGAAAGGACATAGATTTGAAGATGACATGGCAAATGGGTAAGGTGGACCCCGCTCAACTTTATCTTTCGTCGCTGTCGAGTTCGAATTAAACCGACGAGGAGTTGCACCCATTGTTCGTTGACGTGCAGGACCAATTGATCTCAGAGGTCATTTTTATCATACGTGTACGGTCAAGATTTAGTTGTCAGCTTGGAGAACGACTGCGATTTTTACGAGTGCAGAAAGGTCTGATTGTTTTTTAGCGGCTAAAGTTATCTGCTACAGTATCTAGGACATGTTTGGGTAAAAGAGGCAACGGCAGGGCCATACGAACTAGCCCGTGTTCAATCCACTGTGCTGGCCCAATTCTTTATAGAGCAGTTCAGCCCATCAGAATTGGCCTACTTAACCACTTTTTTTTTTTTTTTTTTTTTGTTGCATGCAATAGATTCTATACTACGCCTACTCTTACTCTATACTAAGGGGAGGGAGGACACAAGGGATAAGGGGTAACACTGAGCATACTTTGGCTGACTGGGGTAACGAGTCCTATTTACCTGTTTATTTTTACTGCTAGTTTTAATGTAGCAGCCCTCCATGGTGGGCTACTTTTGATCCATCTGATACTTCATTGTCCTCTAGAACTTTTTTTTTTTTTGGTCGACACAGGGGTGTCTGGGTCAATGTTTACGGGGCCTGACTAATCCCCTGCGGCCCGGGAGAGGAGGCCCCACTCCACACCGAACACGTTAACAGCGAGACTCGAACCCTGGACAAGTCAGGAAGGTCGCCA